CTTTTCTCCCCAAAAATTTTTTTAATTTTAAAAAAAAAAAAAAAAAAAAGTTTAGGAAGAAAGAAAGGAAAAAAAAAAAAAAAAAGGGGGTGGGGGGGGAAGAGCCGGGGGGAGATTGCTCTTCCGGACAACATGGTAGCAGTGAAATGAAATACCTAGACAGACTTACCGAAGAGCTTGCTGGGAGTGTCCTCGCTGTCATTTGATTCCACAGGCGCAAGCAGGGGCTCATTCAGCTCGTTGTCTGAAGTAGCTGCCTTGTCCTCACCTCTCAACTCTGCATTCATTTCACTCTGCAGTGACAGCAAGGGCTTACTGACTTGTCCAGCTATCATTGGATCCTAGGATGGGGGGGGGAAAAAAAAGAGTGAGGGGAAAAAAAAAAAGTGGCAGCTTTGGTGTGCGTATACTCTCTCTTCCACTCCCTCTCTCTCACACACATACACACACACTCTCTCTCTCTTATCTCTGGCTGCTCCTGCTGTTATTGCTGGCTGCAGTCAAGTGAAGAGCTATTACAGATCCAATGAGTTTTCCATTACTCCCCACCCTATTAAAGCTCAACTAGCATGTGAGAGATTCAGGATGCTTTGGAGAAAAACTTCTATGAAAGCAACATAACCAACACAGCTTTAATTGTGGGATGTACTTTTTTTTTTTTTTTGGTATGTTTTTACACCTCACCCTGTCCTTAACACGTAAGAAAAGAAATTCCTGTATGCTCCAACACCACAGAAGAGAAGCACCCTGTGAACGCTCCATAGTGATTTAAAGAGGCATCCTCATCTGTACAACACTAACAAAATCAAATACACAGTTTCTAACATCCCAGCATTTATATGAAATTACACAGCAGCAAATAACCATTTCATTACATACATTCAACAGAGATACAGATTTCTTCCAAGTATTCCTGTCTTTGGGATACTATGCTCCAAAAGTCCATAAAAACACAGAAACACATCTTTCTTTCAAAAATAAAACACAGAGAAACCATTTTTAAGAGATAAAATTAGGGAAGATACTTACACAAACAGACTGCAATTAATCTTGTGTTTGGGACATTGTATCTCCCGTAAACATTACATATATATGTACATTTAAATTTTTTCTTGATGATTTGGATCTGGTTTATCTTCTGCTCACTGGGGACATTTGGGGGTCAGGCATTATTTCCGAGCACACTCTATTATTCCGTTTGCAAACTAACAGGCATAATATCATGACAGCACGGAAGGCAGAGTGGAAAAAAAAAAAGGAAACAACAAAAAAAGGAAAGGAACAAGTGACCTTATTGCGCTCTCTGGCAGCTATTTATTGCAAAGTTCATGCCTAAATGGTTCTTATGCAGAGAACAGGTGACCAGCGAGCAAGTAGGTTGGTTAGCATGTTCCCTCTGTCCCATCCTCACATTGGTCGATGTTTGCCTATGGGTTTTTTAATGTATTCATGTCTGAAAAGTGAATTTGATATGACACATGATAATCTATGAAAATGTTAATCAATACAAATAGTTTAAGCTGTCATCAAATGCACTTCTTTAGTCAATACTCATATCGCTGAAAACAATGTCACTGTCACCGGGGCTTAATTTGCACAGCACTTAAATATTGGACTCTGTGCATCAATGCACTCCTCTTCAAATACTGTAGGTAAACACATTTTCTCCCTATTTAAGGTTGAAGCACTCAGCACGCATTTAGCTGAGCCGAATCCTCCCTTTTGAATACCTTGATAGGTCCACTGGAGGGCAAAATTAATACTTAATTGAATCTCACAGTCATCAAAATAATCAATACTTTTTTATTATTTATTCTTTACAGTCTGTTGACTGTTTCAAACCTCTGAGGGAATGGTGGAAAGGATTCATGGCTTTGAAACACTGTCATTTAACAAGGTAATTTTCAGTGGGGCATTAGGGGTTGTGAAACATATAATAAAACAAAAATGGTGGCTTATAATAGGAAGAGAGAAAAGAATTATATTTCTGCCATCTAACAAAACAGGATAAATAAAAAAGCAAGTGCGAGAGGGAGAGGGAGAAAGGAGGGGGGGAGAGGGAGAGAAAGACTGGCTTTTGAAGGGTTTTATCATATCAAGAGCAGAGCTGAGCTTTCATAATGCTGACATTTCTCATCCTGACAATCCTAAACAAGTGGAAAGGATGAGATCGCAGATATCATCTTTCATCACATTCCCCAGCTTAAGAACCAACATGACAGCTTCTCTCCCCTTTACACTGTTAATTACTAAATAAAATACTGCTCTCTGTCAGCATTAGATTATTGCAGATAGCAACCACAAACATTACTCCATTGTTTTGTTTTGTTTTTTTTTTTTTTTTTTTTTTTTAGCCAGTGATACCTACCTTGAACTCATCAGAAAATAAATTAGGCTTGTGTCTACATATTGTAAATATATGAAACATAATCAATTTAATCAATGTGGTCAATTCATGTTATTGTCAGGCTAAATTGCTGGTGATTTATTAACATTTCATTTACTGTAGTTATTAGCCAGCAACAATCTGAGCGTTTCTTAGATGTTTCTGGGGAAAAAAAACAGAAGTTAACAGACTTCTCTTGCAGATGCTGTAATAAACCCCCCTGATTTGTTTTTCTTTATATTCATATTGCGTTATGGACAGTCATTTACCAAGGCAAACATTTGTTTGCTTTCATATACCAAGTAATGTAGTTTTAACAGATTTTGCAGGTAAGGGTCACTGTGAACACACAGCATTTTTTCCAAGTTTGGGCTGCTGCCCTCAGTTTCAGCTGTTCTAAACTAACACCAAGAGTGGTTCCATAACAAATGTGAATCAGGACAAAATTTGACTCTTTTCATCAACGCATTTTGGGGAGGGAACTAATCCTGTCCACAGAGCTGCACTGCTAATCTGAGGACTAACAGCAATTTAATGGAAGATGCTGAATCAGTAAGATTCTAGATTAAAGTCTCAGCTGCCAAATTTTGAAGTTGAGCATATGAAAAATGGAAGGAAGAATAATGTAGGAAATGTGATGGCACTGGAAGAAACCTCAGCCCTTACATATTAGTGAATTCTCAGCAACTTCAATGGGGCTAGGATTTTACCTGTTATGTATAATAATAATAATTTGGCCTCATATGGAGTATTTTGTTCATTTCTGCTTAGCCCATCTAAGAAAGATACATCAGAAAGACATGTATGATATGAATCATGAGATGAATGATAAAGAAATTTAAAGGATTCAGAATGTTTACAGAAAAAGAGAAAGAATGAGCATGATGAATGTATAGAAAATTATAAATGGCAGGGAGAAAACACAGACCAGGAACTGTTCGTCCTACCTCATCGGAGGAGAAGAGGGTCCTCTGCTGAAATGGAAGAGTTGTAAATCTAATAATAATAAAAGGTACTTGTCAAAACAGCAAGCAGTGAAAACCTGTGGAACTCATTGCTGCTGGATATCACTTTAGACCTGCACCTCAGTAAGCATAAACATAGTTGCTGGGCAGAATCTTATTTAAAATAGCTTTGCAAACACAGAACCAAGAACTATAAAAACTTGAATAATATAAACTGCTGCCCCTTCCTTCAGATGGTACTAGAATCTGTAGTTAACCCCGTGCATAGCTCTTCCTGTCAGGTGGCAAATAAATGCCAACTTGGTTTGTAAATAGACAGATTAAGTACTCTCCAAAATTCTAGCCTACATGAAGACCAAACAAATCACCTAAATGATGGGTTGAGGGAAGGTTTGTTTCCTTCAAAAACATACTTTAAAAAAATGTCTTCAGGCCTGTGATTGCTTTCCATACTTAAGAACGTGCTTCTTCTCCAGTCGATTATGTGATTAAAACCTATTATTTTTACAAAAAGTGTAATAAATTCTAATTTCAGTGTTTAACAAGTGGCTTAATCTGTAAAATCCCTTGAGAATCAGAGCAGTTGTTCCTATATTTCCCAATGGCCTCCCTAAAAAACTCTGGAATAGCAGCTGTGCCAGCTGCAGGCCCAGCAGCCACTGCTCCTCTGCCCACCTATAAAGTCCGGCCCAGAGAAGACCCCACAGTATTACAGAAGAATACATAAGGTCAAGGAATTGTGTGTGCATCTTTTGTGGACAGTCCCATCATCAATTGTTCTTCCTGCCCTGATGGCTGCGGGCTTGATGCTCAGCATCTGCTTTTTGGGAAGGTGTTAAAGGTCAGGATACCCTTTGCACCATAACACAGGATCTGCTGTTGAGCAACAGCCACACAAAAGTTTTAGGCTTTCATGTACAAACTTGGAAAGTCTAAGAATGCATAGAAAACCAGAAAGATGAGCTTTGTAAAACAGGTTTCTGTGCTTTAAGAAAGAGGTAAGGATACATGAATGAGACATAATGCTTCAGAATTTCAGATGGCATAACCACAAGAACAAAATTCTATTTATGTGAGAACTAAGGAATTATAATCCCCTTATTCAAAATATACTTGTATATACCACACATGTAGTGACAAATTTTACATGCATCTCTTGCAGATACTCATATACCCTGTCATCTATTTCTTGTCCAACTATCACTAGTATTTCCAGACTTGCCTGTTTTCTGTGAGATTTCACTGACAGTTTTGTGCAGCAAGTGGTTCTCCCTGCTGTGTTTCTCCCTTAAGGTTGGCTTACACCTCCTGTAATTCAGCTGCAACACCTGCTACACCTCTGTTCAGCTCTATGACTCCCCCATGATTTAAACAAGCTGTTGGGCTTAATCTTAACAGCAAAAATCATGTAGATTTACAAATGCAAATTACAGTTCTGGGTATACATCCTCTTTTAAAAGCCAAAACCTTAACTTTTTTCTTATCTGCAGCACTGAACAAAGTGCAGGACAACATTTATCACTGTGCTAAAAGCTTTGCCTCTGCACTTTAAGGGTAAAGTTGCAGTTTTTAAGCAAATCTACTTAGTAATCAAAGACAGCTTTTAAAGGAAACTATATGGGTTTTGTGTGAGACATGCCTTAGGCAAAAGTCTAAAATGAGAGAACAAACTACTTTTATCCTTAATATAGGACTTGGGTGATGATAGGGCTTTATAAAGACTTCATGCACTGATCTAGCCACTAGTCTAATTTTTGTACTTACTGCATCATAATCACTGTTGGTCTGAATGTAATTACTTTAATTAGGATAAAAAGTAAGATCCTATGTTTTGCTTTTTATTTTGCCCTTTGTTTGAAATGACTTTGCACAGACTATTTCTATGGCTTATGACTACTCAAAATTAATTTCCTGGGATTTTTGTTTTGATTTTGTTTTTTCAAAATATGAAATAAGTCCTTCCCTCTCTCTAGGATTCTGATCT